TGAAAAAAAATGTCCCCGGTTAACCCCGCGGGTTTAAAAAAAAATTGTAAAAAAAAAAAAACCAAAAAAAAAAAAAAAAAAAAAAAAAAAAAAAAACTGTCCACCATCTTGGAAAGTTTTTGTTTTCTATAGTTTGAAACATACAGTAGCAAGAGCTTAGTGAAGCAGGAAGAGCAGTGCAGTCACTGCACTAATGTGTCGCTCCTAGCTGAGCTGCAGCACTGAACTGATGAGTAACCGTTAGCTCCGCTTAATGCCTTCACTCCAGCGTTTGTGATTCATGAATATTTATTGGCGGCACCAGCTGTGGTGCTTTATACTCGAAGGGGTGCATCTATCCAAACCGTCATGCCTCATTAAATGTCAGCATTTTTGAACTGATTAATTTGTTTCCTGCTGATCAGTAAAATTAGCAGGCCAGTATATTAATTACTGGGACCAGATTACCAGATATTTAAATGTCTCAAAGAGAGAACTGCAAGAATGGAAAAGATTGGCATCTCATTTGTTTTCATTCTTAGGCCAATGTTTCCTTTTTAGATCCGCTGTGAGTCAAATAAGTAATTGCACTCGGTCAATTAGGATCATTTACAGCTGAATGTTTCACGGGAAATGCAAATTGGATTCCTCATCATAGTTTGTCAGTAACTCGGTTCACTAAGTAAAGCACAATATATATATTGATACACACAGACTGCTGGTTTAAGTCTTTATTTTTCTGAGCTGTGATGATTGTCACTTAACAAATAAGATTATTAAATTACTTAAACCAATAAAAAAATATTTTTAACCCAGAAATGTGGGCTTAATGAAAACCATTTAATGCCTGTGAGAAGGTTATTTTCAAAACACACTTTTGTAGTTTAAACATTTTTTTTCATGAAGCTTCTGTGAATTGTAAATACATTAAAATATTGTTTGCCTTGCCATTACCCATAATTACTCATGGCTATTTATTTCAGTTCTGTGAAATGTTTACAAAAATCAAACACTTCCTTGTTTATGTGTCATTTAAGAGGTTAAAACAATACAATTGATTGTGACAAAAGCTTTGGATTGGTGCATCTTTACTCATCTCTGATCCAAAACATTTTAAAAGCTCTTCTTCGGGCTGTTTGCAATATTACTGTGAATGCGTCTAGTTTGTTTTGTGTGTTAGAATCCTCTCAGGTATTCTGTCTTTTTATAAATACATTTATTTTAAAATGATTTCATGTATCATTAGTTAAACTTATGAATTCAGCCATTCTGTGGTATTTTTTTATTTTTAATATTTCTTTAGTCTTGAACTTAACTGATTTTGTTTTTCTCCCCTGAAACAGTTTGTCAATAATTAAAAAATAAATAAATCTAAATCGATCTGTTTTTCTTTGTTTGAAATAAAATATTTTTATGGACTTAAACTTTTCAGTCTCTTGTATATTATTAATCTAGAAAAAAACATTTCATCCCAAACCTGCTCCCAGTTGCTGCCAATGAGTTTAATCAGAACTATTCACTTTATTTTGATTGATGATTTAGTACTTTGTAAAGTAACCATATGTTAAAATCTCATATAACTTTAAAGTAATTGTATGCAGTATTTTGAAGGTTTTGTGTTGCACCCAGTTCTATTCTTTGTGGTTCCGATCCCAGTTTGGTTCAGTTCACTCTTCTGAACTAAGAGGTTTGGACGACACTCCGAATTTCCACATTTTGTCCATTTACAACCACAATCTTCAGTACGTTTTACAAATCTGTTCTTTATGGAAGAGAGTGCATGGAGTCATGTTTGCAGTTGGACACAGGACAAATCCACACCAAAGGTTTTACCTTTTTATTTGCAAAACAATATGAAAATCATGTACAATTATCCATTACTTTACGCATGTTGTTGTTTGTAAGTTGACAAAATGTGGTAAATTATAAGAAACCTGCTGGTAGACGTTGCTTATTTTACTATGACTAATGTTATGATCACAATAAATAATATTACTAATGCTTAAAATAGTAATAGTAAAATAATAATAGTAAAAGTAATAGTAAAATGTTGTAAGTAAACAATGAGCAGAATAAAGAACATTTATTTAGACTGTCCATCTAATGTACCTACTGATCCTTGCAGAGTCGTGGTGCCTTTCTCCAGCAGTCAGTGGGCGACAATACGCCCTGGTCAGGTCCTAATCCAGGACAGAGACACAACGGACCAACAACCACACACACATATATACCTAAGGACAATTTGGAGAGCTCAACCTACATGTTTTTGGACTACGGGAGGACGGTAGAGAACCCACACATCCACAGGGAGGACTCAGACCAGGATTGAAATTCAGGGCCTTCTTGCTGCAAGACAACAGTGCTACCAACTGCATCACTATGCAGCCCTGTTTTAAATGAAACAGAACCAAAAAAAAAATCTAATGAACCTCAAAGCAGGTATGAAACAATTAGTTGATTGGGGCTCTTGATGGACCGCCACAGACGACTCATTTTCTTACCATGCTGGGTTTAAAACTGCAGAAAACAGCCAACACCAATCAAGGATGCACACAGGAAAGAAAGTGTTAAAACTGAAATAAACACAGCAGCAACAGTGGGCCTTTACTGTTGGATCACTTTTTATTTCAAAGTTGTTATAAAACCATCATTCCAGCTTCTCTGTAGGAAGAACAATGCTTTTCAAATTGCCTCGTTGACTTTAAGCGTCAAGGATCAAGTATGCATGGATCCTCATTAGACCAGGATGCTATGAGACATCTGCTCTGCACTTCTCAGCACATTGCAAAGCATCGCTAAAGGAAAACGAGGGGAAGCGGTGAGATCACAGGGGAGAATATTAAAGCAACAGCGACTGTAAGGGAGCAATCAGCCTGGGCCACAAACCTCAGTTCCCTGAGTTAGTAACAAATAAAGTCCCTATGGAGTCTGGAAACGTCAAAAATAAACAGTTTCTAGTTTTCATCTAGATGAGTTATTGCTGTTTATTTTTTGAAAAACGTGAATCTATTGTGCAAGCACAAACTAATAATTAGCTTAATTAGAAACATGATTAAAATTTAATGTATTTACTCTACTAGCGAGGCAACATATACAAAGAAGTACATTATCTCGTTGCAAATTAAATGCATGTGCATATAACTGAGCTCGTTAAAGCTCAAGGTTGGTCTAAAGAGGACTTGTTCTGCTGCTGATTTAAGCTTTTATTTTTACTGCTTCTTTATTAATATTCTCTGGTTTGGGACTCGTCATTTTATTTTTATTACCGCAGTAAGTTCTACCATGCAGATCTAAGGTCTGTGTGAGAGCACAGTCGATCTATTCCCCACTCAAAACTGTGTATTCTCTTTTGTTGTTACAGTGCAATCAGGATTATAACTATGTACAGTCGTATTTATACAAAACAAATGCCCATGCCCTTCTCTGGCTTCTTATAAACAAAAAAGTACAGGTAGATATAACTTGCAGCAGCGCGAAGGCTGAAATATTGCTTTGTTGTGAACAAAAACATCTGCCCACACAGTGATTCAGTGTGTTCAAGCCCTGTGTGGTTCAGTTTGTCACGTTAAAGTGTCTCTCCGGAGCAAAACATGTTATACTGTCGTCGTCAGCAGAGCGAGCCTCCGACAGACGGAGAATCGAGTCCGCTGTGTTTCTGTGAATGAAGTAGGATAGCTGCTCAGGGTCTCAGCACCAAAGTGTCCATGTGAGGGTATCCAGTGGACTTTGGGTCTGTCCTTTAGGGAACTCCAGAGGTGAAGTCAATGAGAGCCTTTGTCAATCAGCCAAGATATGTCTCCAGTCCTGCAACACAGCAATAGTGGTCAAATCCTTGCTGATAAAGAGTTTTATTACATTTTTGAGCTGGTGGATAAGGTGCAGCTGCATATAAAAAGGATTAGCTCGTGTTTTTCCATACTTGCCAAGGAGCGCTAACATCCTTCAGTTTTTGTTTGCACACAAAATTGAAAGACACGAGAGAGATGAAGATCAGTAGAACAACAAAAAGACAAGACAAAATGGACATTTTAACAGCAACGTTTACAAACCAACACTGACATATAAGCCACTGTATTTGACAGAGACAATGTCGTCTGTCACTGTTGAAGACATTCACTTTTTTTTCTTTTCGAAACACAACGGTTTTTGTATCAAGCTTTTAGAAATACAGTAGCATGAGTTGACTCAATACAATGAACATGCAAGAAGTATTAATGTAATGTTGCTATAAACCAGGGGTCTTCAAACCCAGGCCTTCAGACACCTGAGTCTAATAATAAGGTCGGTAGCAAGACTCTGCAAAACTTGACTACTGAGGAGGTAATTCAGCCATTTGACTCAGACATATTGGAGCAGGGACAAGTTACAGGACACCAGTCCCCGGCTATAAACCAGCAGTGGCCTTCAGGGACCAATTTTAACATTGGATGTATGGTTCACCACCCAGGGCGCCATGGCCTGACAGGAATGCCACAAGCAGCCAGCATTTTTTATTTTTATTTTTTATTTTTTGCATGACCAATCTACTCTGTAGGTTGTAAAGATCCTGAAAAGTTACAAAATAATATGTAACAATTTTGTCTCGATGGGTTTTATTGGAGGACTGAGGATGTTTTTGGTTGTGCAAGGAAACTCCAAGGCATCATTCATGCAAAAACTGAATGATGGTCAAACTAAAATGCAGCCACTTGACTGAAATTAAATCTTAACTTTAAATTAATTGAACAAATAAGGCGAGATTCATGATTGTAAGAATGTAAACAATCTTGCTGGATTTTTTGTATTTTATCCATACGATAAACATTTAAAAATGTTAAAAAAAAAGAACCTAAAGCTTCTGCAGCTTTTATTAGCTAATCATGTTTTCATGTTTTACATTTAGAGCGTTCTTTTTTTTCTAAGTCCCAAACTCAAACACCCAGTGAATTTTTTTTCCAAGACTTTAAAAATACAACTTCCAACTGCGATGAGTATAAAATCCCAAATGGAGACTTACTCCACGTCTCGCTTTTTAATCGTCTTTCCGGATCCCAAGACCTCTGCCACCCGAGATACGATGGGGTCATAGTTCATGCTGGCGACAGCAACCACTTCCTCGCTCCTTCAGACGGGAACAGAGCAAACGAACGATTGTAAAACAGTCCAAATATTTTAGTTGGCTTACAGTCTAAAAGTGCAACAGTTACCTTGTATAAAAAGCAACAAATCGTAATTCATCCAGATCTCCTTGTATGATGACATCATCAAATCCATCGCCATAACCTCAAAACACGGAAAAGGACACATAAAATGGTTTGAGTTTTTCATCTTAATAGCTATGATGTGCGTTTCTTTTTCAGGGAGGATGTTCCTAAAGGCACTGTATGTATTTTGGAAAAAAATACTTTCAGGATGACAGATGATTGGACTGTATCAGAATTTAGATGAAACTGGTCTGAAATGGATATGAATTAGCTTGTTTGTTTTGCAAAGTACAGCAGAAATGTTAAAATTTTGATTTAACTCTTTCATGCATGAATTGTGATCCATTGTGTTGGGATTTATTTTCCAATTTTTTATTTTTATTTTCTATATTCTCCAAATCCAAAGTTGTTATTTGAAAAACACATCAGTAGTATTGTTCTTTATGGGTTATCTAATGTCACAATATTTTTTTTTTTTTTTACCTGCAAGAGTCGTGTACAGTAGAAGGAGGGACCGGGTCGGTCGGCATGCTGTTTTGTCTGTCGGCCATATTGGATTTAACAAAGATCATTACTTGCAATTGCAGCTGATGACAAGTAATTGATAGTGTATTTTATGATGCATTAGTGTCCACTTCAGTGGTCTGTGTGCATTTATAACATAAAAACATGGCTTTTAGGCAGCTGTCCACTGTAGTGAACCACTATGCATGAAAGGGTTAATTCACTTTTAATACACCTCCTAATTCAGAAAAAATATTAATGTGGATTAATTATTGTTTTCTTTCATCCAAGTGAAGGATAAGAAATTACATGAAATAACCAAACTGTGAAATGAAAATATCTAAAATCTAAAAAATAGTAAATCACTTTTACACCCAGCTGTTAAGACACCAATGCCTGTCTTTTTAATTTTCCACTTTAAAAAACTTTGAAATCTCATCAGAAGGTATATTTTTCTTCAAAATACTCCGGGTCAGGGAACATCCTCCGCGGCCCCTTGCCCCCACCTGCATAGCGAATGGTCTTCCCAAACATGGCCGACCAGAAGTAAGGCACAGTTTTGAACTCGGAGACTCTGCCCATCATGCTGAGAGCTGCCACCCTGCCTGTCGGCAACAATGAGAGAAATCAAATAAATCTTACACACGTCTTTGACAGCTTTCCAAAGTCTGAACCGAGCTTTGACCCGCTCACCGTGCACATGAGCCATCTGCCAGTGAGGGATGTTCACCTTCTTGTTGTTGCGAGGTGGAAACGGAAACGTGACCACGTCTCCTCCAGCAAACACCCCGTCAACGTTTGTCTGCATCATCTGCAGCAGAGATGAACGTTAGTGGGAAAAAAAAGAAAGAAAAAAAACACAACAAAGGTAGACTTTCTACTCAGACCACAGAGGACTGCAGCACACCTTGTTCACGGTGATGAAGCCCTTTGAGTCCAAGTGGATGCCGCTCTGTTTCAAAAACCCTGTTGCAGGAACACTCCCTGCAGAAGCAGAGTCATGTCAGCAGGCTTAACATGTAGGAGGCTGGCAGGAAAAAAGAGAGAAAGCACATTTACTACCTGCTCCGATGACGCACACGTCCGCCCGCAGGACTTTCCCACTCTTCAGAACAACTTCCTTCAGCTGTGAAACAGGGGGCAAAAATGGTTCATTTTGATGTAAAACAGTAGCTGCTGCACTTGTGTTCACTTAATTATTTCATGTTACATAAATAAATACTTTAAACTTTAAGGTTTCCAGATTCTGCAGAGGAGGAGACTAAGCAGTATGTCCTGCTATTTCTCTCACTTTCTGAATACCTGTCCATGTTGACCAATCATCTCCGACACTTCGTTCAGCATGTAGAACTTCACCCTGTTTGTCTCAAACAGCTGCAGAGACGAAGACACCTCAGAGTTACACCGAAACCACAACAGGGACACGTCACAGCAGCCTCCACTTCTTTTCAGTGATCAATCGCTGCTCCAATTTCTGGCGCGGTATTGACCAGCAGGAGAAACAACTAATGGGATTTGCATTTTAACCAGCAGCGTATTCTCGGGGAGAATACTGATGACGGCGCTGTGGATGTGCTTCATGTTCACAAAGGCTTAAATTCCCAGGACGGAGGGAGCCTTTACCTTCATTATGGCTTTCCCTACTTTCTCCCCGAGAGCTTTTTTGAAGGGGACCGGCTCGATCCCGATGACAGACACTGAGTGGGCCTTATCAGTCAGAGCTGCAGCCACCTCCATACCTGTCAGCACAACAAAACACAAGGTGGGAAATGTTTTCATGCATTTATTTTAATCTGTCTAAGCAAATCCCTCTCCATTTATTAGGCCAGCCCCAACTTTTAAACAGTGAACATTGAAAACTCCTCCCTCTGCACCCTCTGTGGTCTGCAGGTGTATCCTTGCAACAAGCTCTCTGTATTATAGCTTCAAACTCATGTGAGCTATTCTTTTATTTCAGGAAGGTCCTTGAGAATTTAGAGACAAAGACAAAACCTCACAATCAGTGTTTTTTTTTTATATTTCTGCATTTAAAAAAAGCATTTTTTCTACACAGGGCCGTATTTAGTCTTTAATATTGTTTAGTCAGCATGACTGGGAGGACTTATATGTTTCTGCTGCAGCATCTGCGAAAGCACCACACTGCCTCCTGTTGTCCGACTTTTATATATCTTTCTACCTTTGCACATAAACCAATAGTAACGTTGTCATAATTTAAAGCACCAGTCGCTCTCCAGCATAAAGCGGCTGCTTATGAGTCCCATCAAACAGTTTCATTCCCTGGCCACAATAATTACACTGCAAAGTACACATCCTACTGAACCATTTTGTCACCATAAACAAAATGTGGACAAAACCTACAAATAACAACCTTAAGTTGTAATTTTTCAACTTTAAGTTGTTTTATATATAACTCAAAGTAGACCCTACTTGTGATGTAGAAGGAAAAGGTACATGGGTTTCAACATTTTTTAAATTAATAAAAACATGAAAAGTGAATTTGCATTTGTGTTTGGCCCCCAGGAAGTAAATACTTTGATTAACCAGACTCAGCTCTACTGTGGATATATGATGAATTTGCCAGCTTTGAAACTGTTGCAGATTCTAATTAGTAAAATTGCCGAAGCTCAGACAGAGTGGATGGATGGTGTTTGTGAAAATCATTTTTCAAGTCTGCCTTTGGATTCAAGCCTGGACTTTTGACTGCACATTAATATATTTTGATCTCCTCAGCATACCAGATTTTACAGATGAGTTTGCAGTCGACTTAGTGACCACAAGGTGCCCAAACCAAGCTAAAATCATCACCTCTCCACAGCTGATTCATACTAAGGTAGGAACAGAAAAATAAGAATAAGATACTGTGCCGAATGTGTAAGGGCAAATTTACAAACAAATAAAAACAAATAAAGAGTTATTATAAACAGCATGCTTAGATGAAAAGAAAGACAGTAAATCTTCAGGATCTACACTTTTGTGCACACAAAACAGCAATAGTCTATTAGTAATAATAATAATAATAAATATATTTTTAAAAGGAGCAATGTCAGTTTTTTTATCTTGGCTTTTTAAAAATCTAATTAAGTAATGACACCAACTGGAAGTGTCCAATGAAGTGACTTACTTATTAATTTTTATCTTTTTAAACACATTTAAATTTTCTTACCAGGCTGTTTTTAGCCTATTGTTGAGCATTGGGCATATTGCAGAGTCATAAGGATAAAAAACAATGCTGAGCCATTTTGAATATTAAACGCACATTTTTTTATTTGATTTTACTTTAATTGAGAACGAAATAATTAAATATGAGTTTTTGTCTCACCAACAAAAGACGTTCCCACAATCACGGCGTTCTTGTTGTTGGCAAGCCTCGCTATGCTGTTAGCATCCTCAGGCGTCCGGAGATGGAAAACATTCTTGACGTCTTTCCCCTTGTAGCTCATTGGTTTTGGTCTTTAAAACAATTAAATCAAATTAGGCATTAAGAGTTTCGGCTACTTAGTCATCAGACAGAATTAGTTATTTTTCTTACTTGCTTCCTGAAGCAATAAAGAGTTTCCTGTACTCCATCCTCAAGCCGTCTTCAAAAGTTACAGATCGAGTCTTAACATCTACTGCTACAACCTAAAACGATTGTTGGAGACTTTTTGCTTAAACAAACTTAAAAAAAAAAAAAATGGTTTCATTTATTAGATAAATTGTCCAAAGTCCCTCACCTCTTTTTCTGTGAGCAGCTCAATGTCGTGGTCCTGTAGGAAGTCCATGGAGCGTAACCTCAGCTGCTCTGCTGTGCTTTCTAAAGACTGAAGACAACAAAGTTACCAACACAGAGCAAAAACCGTGAACCGCATTTCTATTTCACCCTGCTGAAAACTGTTTAAAGATCATTTTAAACTTAATATTATGACGGTATTCTGAGCCATCATCAGTATAATTTGTGGACGTAATAAAAAAGCTAATAATGTTCTTTTCTTTAGTCTATACCAAGCCTTGCATCATTTGAACTTCTTCACATTTTCTTACGTTTTACAACCACAAACTACACCAAAATAAGGTGTGGAATAATTATGAAATGGACTGAAATTTGTTTACATTTACAGATCTGACAAAATGTTCTGTGCATTACTATTTAGACTATGGAGTCAAATGTTTATAGAACCACAGTTTTCTGAAATTTTACCCCAACTTTTCACATCTAGAAACCAAAATTGTTGCTCATTCTTTGTAAAACAGCTCAATCACAGTAAGATTGGATGGAAATGAGCAATTTTCAAGTCTTGCCACAGATTCTCAGTTTAATTTAGTCTTGACTGGCTCATCTATTCTAACATATGCGGGTACTTTAATCTAAACAATCGTTTTGTAGCTTTGATTGATGGTTTGGCACCATCTTCCTGCTGGACTGTAAACCTTTGCCTTATTCTCAAGCTCTTTTGCAGCTGCAGACAGATTTTTATCCATCATTATCCTGTTTTGCTCCATTGATCTTCCCATTAACTCATCTTCCACTTCAAAGCTAAGCTCTACTTTGTGTTGATCCATCAAATAAATTCCTAATAAATGACATTCAAGATTGTGGTGGTTGCTTTCCTGAGGCTCTGTAGAACTGTCCCAACTCTCAACTTTCTTAAGCTTGGCTGCTGCACAATAAGTAGCTGTTCCCTAAAGAGCCACTGACCAAAGCAGCAACTCTGCAGTCTCTTATGTAAGCTTCCCGACATAATGAGCTGCGTCTCAGTGTATATAGCTGGAGTCTGTGTACAAACCTTACTCAGTTTAGGCCTGTCATACGGAGGATGTCTGTCCATGGTGCACATGACGATGCGATCTGTGAAGCCTTCTTGCCTCAGTGTCTCTGCACACACCAGGCTCGCTGGACCTGCCGACAAATTCACAAATTTCAACACTATTGTCTTTTAAGAAGAAGATATGGAAACAGTTTTTTTTTCATATTAAAAACAAGTTGGTGGTCTACACCAACCTGAGCCGACGATGAGAACATGGCTGAAGCCGGTGTTGGAGTTGATGACGGCAGAACATCGGGACATGGGTTTCGATCTCTTTTGTGACTGAAGAGCCTGAAACGGTATTAAAGATGAATGAATTCATTAGCAGCTTTGTTCAACTTCTGCCTGCAGAACTTTTTCACATTTTGACAAATTATAAAACAAAGTACAGAGCTTTGAAAACTTCAAAAGAGTGGCGCTTCGCCTATCATCTGAACATGGTACAGCAACAAACCAACCAAGACATGGACATCCAACTAAACTGACAGGTGAAGTCCGGGGAGCACTAACGTCTTAGGTGCAGTAATAAAGCCTAGGAGCTGCAGAGATCCACCAATCAAGTGGACAAATCTGTCAACAAGATATAAGTTTTGCAGTCCATAAATGACCTTCATGGAAATGTGAAGCTATTGCTGAAAGAAAGCCAGGAGCTCGTCAGAGTTGATGGAAGGATAGCGCTAAAAACAGAGCAGGAACAAAACCTGTTAGAGGCTGCAACAGACCGTCAGCAGATATTCAACCACCTTAAACTACCAGCTAGATCTAATACCGATAGTTTAATAGTTCAGATTAAAGCATGTTCATGTGTGAGGATGGTCAAAGTTTAGCCGACAATATAAACTGTAAAGCCCGTTGCTTGAATTTTGTTCTCCATCTAATTTGAGTCAAAGCAATTTTCCAAAACGGACAAAGCAATTACCTGAGACTGCAGATGTCCACCAGTGGTAAAGACATGCCCTAATTGCACTGATTCTACGAAGTGACAACTTAGAGGAGATGAATACAAATCCATGCCACACTTTTAAGATTTTTATCCATGCAAAATCTCTGGAAATCATCAATACTTCTCCAATTTCAGAATTTTGCTCAGTTTGCTAATAATCCATGACAAGAAACTCCAATAAAATCCACTGAAGTCTGTGGTTGTAATGTGACAAAATGTGAAAAAGTTTTAGATAAATTATTCCCATTCTTTTTTTTGTTGTTGTTTTTGTTTGCTTGTTTATTACCTGCTTGTTTGCACGAATGATCACCTTGTCCTTCTCAACTCTGACCTGGAGCAAACAGACATCAAGCGACGTGTTCACTTTTTTGATTAGGCAGACAAAGTGTTAGGAGGGACCAGCAGCAGGGAAGGTCACCTGGAAGGTAGGCAGACTGTCCAGACCTGGGAAGTCCTCTATGTCTCCTGTTGCTGTGCTGAAACAGGCGCCGTGCCAGGGACAGCGCACATGTCCTTTGGATAGGACACCTACAAGGAGAGATGGTAAGTCAAAGGTGTTCAAGTGATGGAAAATAATAGTCGCAATGATAATCAACACAATTCTGACCTTTGACCAGCGGTGCTCCGTAGTGCGGACACTTGTGGGCCATGGCGGAAAACTCCCCGTGTTGTTTGATGAGCAAAGCTCTGCCACATCCCAGATCCACCTCTCGCATTCTGTCCCAGGCGAAAAAACAGAGCAGGCTCTAATTCAACAATCAGCCAAGCAAAAACAGAGCAGGTTCTAATTCAACAATCAGCCAAACGACAAATTCAAGGGGGAAACTAAATTATGCATAATGTGAAAACAGCAACAACGCCTTGCAAAATCATTTGTTGTTTCACAGTATCTGAGACTGCATTTAGTTTTCTGGTTCTTATATTGCTAGCATAAAAAAGTCTGTATTTTCTGTACACTTTTATATATTCATTATTCATCACTGTTTTCTTTGCTGCCATTGACTCCCTGCTTCAGGGCTTAAACTTAGACACAGCAAACTCATTAAATAATGCTCAATGATTCTGGATGGCAACACAAGCCTAATATAGAAGTAGACTCATCCATCTGTGTAAAGTTAGCATATCAACCAGCTGAAACTAGAACAACCTGTCGGACGTTTGCTGTAGATGTCCAGCCTGAGCTCAATCAAAGCCTTGGTAGAATCACCATAACAGCTTTGTTTAAGGCTTTTTTCACAATTGGTCGCATTACAACAACAAGCTTCAATATATTTTATTGCCATATCCTCACACTGATGTGATATCCCTAAATAAAAGAGGAAATAAAAGCCTTCATGAATCCCTTAATCATTAAATAGCTTCCACCTGTGTTGCTGTTCTGTGGAGGTTTGTACTAGTGGACAAACGGCACCATGAAGATCAAGGAAGAAAGAGAGCAGACGGGTCAGGGGAAAAGTAGTGGTGAAGTTTAGATCAGAGTTAGGTAGTAAGAAAATATCCACTGCCTGAAAAGAGCCAGGAGTCCCTTGGTAACCTTGGATGAGCTGCAGAGATCCAGAACATTTCTCACAAGAAGCCATTGTTGAAAGAAAAGCTCAGTTTCCGTTTTGCAACGTTCTGATCAGAAGAGTCCAACTTGAAACTTCTGACCAACATGCAGCACACTATGTGCGGAGGAAAACTAATGTAGATCACTCTGAGCACACCGTGCAAATGGCAGCATAACACTGTGCTTGACTTACAGATACAAGGACTTTCTGTAAGAAAACATGCGTTCGAAGCTGTAAACACTTGATTTTGAGGTGTGGCTCAGTCTGACATACAGCCTGAGCCACAATGGCAGGGTTTAGCTCAACGTGTCCTAGTCAAAGTGCAGTCTGAGTGATCTTAAGCTGCCTTACAATAAAGAATGAGCAAAACATCCAGTGAGTAGATGTGCAAAGCTGGTAGAGATGTTCTTTAAAAGACTTGTAACCTGATTTGAAGCAAAAGGTTGAATAACATGACATGTTACACATTCTTCTGATTTATATTCATCAAAACAAAACTCCACACCATGCATGTCTTTCCTTCCTCTTAAAAAGTAAAGAATACCTTGCTTTACTGTATCACATATATTTTAATAAAAGACGATGTCTAACATAACAAAACCTTTAAGGTGCAGGGGATGCAGGAGCGAAAGGAAGCAGAATGATCTGCTTCTTGTAAGAAAAAAATAAAATAAAGTAAATATATGATTCCTTTTTCCTTACTGTCCATTTTCCAGGTCTTTAACGTGACACACGGAGGCCTCCACATATTCCCGGGAGTTGTGGTTGAGCGGCAGCAGCATGGAGTCTTCGTCAGAGCTGTGAGCCAGGGCCCCATTCGGTCTGCAGTCGGCGAAGGGGCTCGCTTTGCCATTAGGGGACAGGCCGTCCACTTCTTTTTCTTTTTCCAGGAGAGAGAGCTCCACTTTGACTTCAACTGCACAACACAGACATGTGGTTCTTAGAAACCCGCTGAATAAATGCGTACAGAGCGGTCACTGCTATGCCACAGTTAATATCAGTGACCAAGTGATTTCAGATAGAAATAGACTGAAACTATTAACAAATAAACATCTTAATGTTGCCTGATTGTTAGTGTTAGCTTTCCTTAAAGCTCTACACTCTTAATATAGTTTTCTTTTTCCCTTTTTTCTTTTACTTTCACACCAGTGCATTGTGAGAGTGTTTTTCCTTTAGAAAAAGAGAGTTGTCTATGGATCATAGACATCTCCACAACTTGGACAAATGAAAGCAGTATTCAGGAAAGAAATTGATTTTTAAGAATATAATTTTTCTTTCTATTTTTGGGCTCCCTTCACTGTTTTTTCTATCATTAATTTTGCCACTCATGCTCTGAATAATAAACAAAATCATAACTCATTGCGCTTTGAAAAAGTGCTGCCCCCCCTCACCTTTTTTTTTTGTTTTTGCTTTTTAGTCACACGTTTCAGATCAACAAGCAAATAACAAACGTAACTTGAGTGTTTATTGCATTTGATGAGTTGTGCTGGCCTAACCTCACCCATTTGAAATTTAACTGTGATAAATCACGAGCCACAACCAGGCCTGATTACTACCAGCCTGCAGAATCAAGAAACTTAAACACAACCTGTCTGAAAAAATTTGTCACAAATTAACACATCGTGCCCTGATCTAAAGTCGCTTTTACAAAATCTTTTTGTCATAAACCTGTGAAGATGGTTCAGAGCTCCTGCTGGCCTGGAAACCATCATTTCTTGCACAACTTTGAGTTATAATTCAAAAACTGTAATTTCACCTCTTGTGGAAACTGCGGTGCTAAACGGGTTCCTGAAAAGTAAAACAACACATTTAAATTACAAAAAAAAAGAAGCATCTTTCAGTTTCTGCTTTCGTGAAGACCTGACAAACATTTTTGTCATGTATGGATTCGGGTTCTTTAGGACGATGCGCCGCCGTCGGCTCCGTGATGTGGAGAAGGCGCTGTGTAACTCCAGCTTCACTGCAGCAGGCTTTATCTGTTCGGCTGGAAAAATTTGCTGATCATTCCGGTTCTTACACAGTAATCTGCCTGGAATTTTCTCCTGCTGAGCAAGTCTTAATTAAAATCAATGGAAAATCGTAATAGTGAGTGCAATTGCACAAGTGGAGGAAGAAGGAGGGACTGCTGTGTGCCTGTGAGGAGAATCTCCAGACGCTGCTGTAAGGCAGCGACTCTTAACACTCAACTTCTGAATAGTGTATGTGATTGTGGAAATGTTTTCAAAGTGCTTTGAATGCAGCTGTCATTTACTTGCTATGTGTTGTGTAAAGAAGTGAAACAAACATGAAAAAAAAACAGAGGATGTTTATTTGCTGCTGTGTGACTTCACTGCATCAGTAAGTTTTCAGCATATTTTCATGCAAATGAGTTGGTACAGAGCCACATCTTTAAAGCCCTGCGTTCCTCACGCAGCTCATGTTAGAACCGTTTACCCTCCAATAAAGGCGTTTAAACAGCAGCACTTGCTGCATATCTGAAACTTTCCCACCTCAACAGTGAGCAGCTTACATGAAGACATCATAGGTGGAGATGATGGTGGTTGCACAACAAACAACTTCAATGAGCTTAGATGCCAAAAGTGAACAAGTTCTCTGAACAGCCTGTCCGACAACCAATGCATATGACCAGACCAAAGTCTATGAGTATCTTCTTACTGATCCTGACTATAGCTGCTGCTGCTGCTGCTGCTACTTTCTCTGTGACTGCCATCATTGTGATCGATTAACTCTCAAAATACTCAAACAACTCCAGAGATATTCTAGGAAGGGGAAATGTGGATTTACAGAACTTAGAGAACACCTCAGGGCGTTTTCCTAAAATGCTGCAGATTCCGACATGATCAATTCAAGCAGCTGTAAATTGGTGTAAGATCTGAAGGAAGGCCTAAACTGATGGAAGAAAACGACTCAGGTGGCGCCAACGTGCTAGCCTAGCATGTACTACAAGATGCTGAAAAAACACTGTCCATACTGAAGCCAGTTTAACATCAACATCGACTCACGTGGCCAGAGATACGCCTGCAGAAATCGCATTTGAGTAAAACGGCACCTTTAGTTTCTTCAGCCTTTCCTCAACTACAGGGCGAATGTGGGGTTTTCTAACAGCACAATGATCCCAAGCACTCATTGAAGTAGTTTTGTAATGAAATAAACTGAAAAACAAAGCTCTGAATTGGGCCTAGCCCTATTTAAATTAAAACATTGTGTTTAAAAGCAGCATATATCCCAGGAGACTGACCAGTTTAAATGACCTTAGTCTACCAAGAACAGGGGTGAGACATCCAGTCAGAATTATGACCTTACTGATAACGACATCATTTTATAATATCTGCCCTGTGATAACTGATGCTGTGTGGATTAATAAATGTAGACGTGTGCATCCAACACATGGAAAATGAGTAGTTCAGATAAATCTTTAAAACACCAACATTGAAAGTAAATTTGTGGAATGAGTGCATATAGACATATATAGATATAGATATAGGTCAGGGCTTGTGAGATGTTCGACTTTAGGGGCCTTTACAGTTCAAAATTTCCCTCGTGCATCACAGACATTTGTATTGAATTTATTATTACGTTTGTTTACTTTTGGCTCAGGATTTCCTCGTGGTGGGAAGTGCCTGGAAAACCTGCAGAGTGGGTGGGAGTGGGGGGTAATTCAGAGGACATCTTGACCTCAAATGACCCCCTTCATCGCAAAGGAGCAACAGCTGGGTGCTCCTCTCAGAGGACAGAGCTCCACACCTGACCCGGATGTCCTTTCAGTAATTATCTATGACCATAGCTGAGGGTCGGGACACAGAAATCATGAGGTCGTCCTTTTTGGCTAAACTCTGGCGCCATCAGTGCTTCTCTCCCGCTCCATCCAAGACACTTCAGCTCCTTTGTACACTCAGCCCCAATACAGACGACTTACTCTGGCTAATCCAATCATAAAGATTGAAGTCCTTAAAACACAGTTAATATTTTTAAACAGTTACTGACTCAAATAAAGTAGAAAAATGAATAACTGTAGTAAAATTAGAAGTATAAACCACTGTGTTTTTGCTTTCTACACTCGCTTGTTTTTAAATGCTTGAAGTTCACTTTGGTCTTGGCCTCTTTTAGCTAGCTGCTAGCTCATGACTTCTGGATCAACTAGCCTGGATTTATACAAAAAAAACTGGAAAGATATATGTTGCTGGTAAGCTATTAACCGTTGAAATTATTAACATAAATTCAGAAATCTTGAGTCTTTAATTTACAGTGAAAGATCCCTACTGTGTTCCCCTCCTCCTTCTCTCCACCGTATGATGCATATCAAACAGGGACATGACAACATGTTCTGTTCAGGGTATATTTGAGTCTCAGCATGTAATCCTCTTTTGATGAAGATGCTTTTAACTTCCTCCCACACAAAACATTGTACTGCGAACAGAGGAGGCTGAGATCATGTGCACAGCAGAATTTGGAGGCGGCCAGAAAATTATTCAAACTGAACAGTTTAATTTATTCTGCATCTAGTTTGTGTTTCCTGCAACCTCTGAAAACAAGAAAAAATAAATGTCTTTGTGATAATAATATTCCACTGATCCAACGACAAGATTTCTCTTGATGGACAAAATGACCTAATGGCAGACAACCGCAGTTAGATCACAGCGTCTTATGCTGCATCTGCTTTTATTCGTAATTGTAGCTCACGTTTTGGCATTATCTAACCTCTTTAAACACACTGGTAGAGCAGTTTACAAACCCAGAGATGAACTGTCTAATCAGCAGGTGATTGGAATCAGAAAATTTTCAGGTTGATCAGGCCAAAACTCAAAACATCCAATCTTTTCCTAATCAGTGGGAGCCTCCGTTGCTACAGGCTCCCTGGTCCTTCTGGCAACAAGGTTTGGTGTAGATGCTGCTAATGTTCTGCAAACACTCTGTTATTTTTTTTTTTTTAGTATCAATAAGTAATAGCAAAGAAAGAAAGAGGAGTCAGGAAAATCAGAGTTAATCATAATCGTTAATTGACAAGAGAGGCCTCATTTTTTTGGAAGACATTTCCTTTGGTCGCACTGATATGTTTGGCTGTTCTGATTAGTTTTATTTTTGAACTCTCAACCTGAACACACATTTCCCAACTGTGAAGTACAGAGGTGGCAGCATCTTGTGTCGGTGTTTTGCCGCAGGAGGGACTGGTGCACATCACAAAAATCTTGAGGAAAGAACATTATGTGGAACAATTGAAGCAACTTCTTGAGACATCAGCCAGCAAATTAGGACTCGAGGACAAATGGACAATGATACAAAACATACACCCAAATATGCTACAAATTAGCTTAAGGATAACAAAGTTGATGTTTTCAAGCGTCAGTCACAAAAGCCCTGATCTCAGTCCCATAGAAAATTAGGTTTAAGATCTGAAAAATGCACACAAGGCAGCATTGTGCCAGTTCGTTCAGGAGGAAAGGGACAAAATTATTTGAGAATTGAGAAGATTTAAGGGCAACCAAAATGTTTTCACCCAGATCACAGAGTTTAAAAGCTAATTAAACCCTATTTCAGGTGAGCATAAGCAAACTTCTGAACCTGGACTCTAAATCTCCTTTAAGACATGAGCTTGGAAAGCATCTTTCTTACCTGGCTTGGGTTTGGAGAAGCATCCTCCCATGGTGGGCCCAGGAAAGATGGACACCAAGAAAAAGGGGAGGATGAGAGGGGGGGAGGAAGGGTTTGGGGGGAGGAAGGAGAGGTGTGGTCAGATCGTCGGACCTGGCTGTGCAGCAAAGAGAGGAAAGTGATGCAGAACGGGTGGCATGAAACCCTGCAAGTCGAAGACAGCCATTGCACACACCAGCTCTTTTATGTAATCTGTGAAAAAAGGGAGAAAAAAAAAGGCATGAAAATGATACGGCTACCAGCTTTACAAGGATCAAACCAAACGTTTTAAAATAAAACAAGTTACTTAATCTAAGCAGGGGAAAAAAATCCCTTCAATTTAACAATCAGCATTTATGACATAAATTTTCAACTGTCGTTCCGTATTTCTTAATTCTACAAGGACAGCTGTGCATAATTATTATTCTGCTCCAAGCACTGTGTGTGTGTGTGTGTGTGTGTGTGTGTGTGTGTGTGTGTGTGTGTGTGTGTGTGTGTGTGTGCGTGTGTGCGTGTGTGTGTGTGTAAAATGTAAATGCTTGTCAAAAGGAAGTAACTTTGTTAATTAGGAACATTTTCACACACGTTGCTACCTTTGTTCATGCATTTTGCATGGGAACTTGTTAAATATTAACCCCACTCCAGCACCTATAAACTTTCCTGTCAGACACTGTTTTCAAGGGAACCAGAGGCCCCCTGAGTTTCAAAGCTCCCCCTTGTCTTGTTTCGTTGTCAGACGCCACATTTCTGCCAACTCTGCTGCTTCACCTATGCTGTGGTACGTTACACATGTGGCGCTCGGTGCCATGGATCTGAACACACACATTGACAGACGCGTCACTCAGTTTGCTGCAATCCATCAACCAATTATTCTTTACAAGCACAGAGACTGCTTGATATTCTGAGCACATCTAAATGTGCTTAAACTTGTAAAAAAAAAAAAAGAGGTTCTGTGTTGAATGGAGAGGAGAGACAGAAAAGTTTCTGAAAACTCATGAAAAATTGATCTAATAACCTGCGATTCTGAAACTACAAAGAGGTTATTTAAACATTTGCAGTGGCTGAAGGTCAGTTTTGACCAGAAAACCATTCAGGTGTCTAAAGAGGAAATCCATTTTTCAGCATTCACACATATATTCAAATGAGCTAAAGAATGGCCAATCCTGGATCTGGAACATAATGCAGGATAACATCTGTGTGGACAAGATATGACAAACTGGAGGGAAATAGACAACTTATGCAAGATGGAGAGAGCAATTATTGCAAAGTCATTGTCTGGGAGCCTGACCGATTCCTACAAAGAAGACTCAAGATCAAAATTGACTTATGAGATAAAGTTTAAGAGTGTTTAAACTGAAGCAACCAGATTATTTCAGCTGCCTGTTTTTTAGTTGAACGTAAACTTCCAAAGTTAATTGATTGTGTTCTCTCTTCTCTTTTTTTTCACGACAAGATGCCATTTTGTAGCAAAGAAATGAGTCCTGCAGACATGACATAAGAATAACACAACTTGAATTTTTCTGTCCTATGACATAAAATAATATTTGGTCATGTTCTAATGAAAACCTGGAAAAGAAACCTAGAAAGCCCCGACATTTGTAAAATTTTAAATTGCAACTTAAATGATTTGACTTCAAGTTATTAGTGCCTCATCCTTTATGTTGTATTAAAGTGTAATAAGCCTGAAGGAACACTGTTGAGGCTGACTTTCCTATCAAGTCCATGGTGTTAAATATGCAGACTACATTCAACTGCCTTGCAGAAAGACTGAGAAAACAACCAGTGATATACCAAGTGGTAAAGTTGATTTCTAGTAATAAATATGACTAGTCATATTTAGTGTCCTGCAGATGGAGTAAAGCTTCTTTTTCAGCATTCCTGCATAAACTCCTCCACGTATCTGAACTTTCCTCCAGCGAGACCATCACCCACGTCGCAGATTTCACTTGCTCAAAGCCCTTCCCCAAGTGAGACGCTGCATGGAAAAACTTGCCTCTCGCATGTTGCGCTTTAATTATTTGTCACAACTGAAATTTTGATGAACAGCACTGGAAAGCCGAGAGCTATTTCACACTGGACTTCCAACAAAACGGCAAAAAAAATATTTTGTCCAAAAAAAAAAACCCAAAGTAGGTTAAGCAGATTTGGTCTCCACAACATATGACGCAGATCCCGCTCCATCGCTGTTGGGCCTGTCCCCGAGCAGTGCTAGTAATCCTGCTAGCAAACAAGCTGTCAGTTTCACTACGACTGTACTACCTGTTACTGGAATTGTATTGCAGGGGAGAATTAGCGGAACGCAGCTCCCGCTCGGAAGTGTGGAGGCGCCGCTTGTTAACGAACGCTGAGCAGCTGAAAGGTCTACCAAAGGTCACATCCATCAGTCAGAGTTGGCCTTCGCATAGGGATTTGCAATCAGCGATGGTATCACACTACGAAGAAGAATGTCACAAAATCTCAAACTGATTGCAAGGGTAAATGTCATCGAGGGTTGATTTTAAACTTCACATGTAATAAAATGTGACATTTCATTTTTCACCCTGATGTTACGCTACAATCAAAGTAATCACTATATCTTTTATATATATATATATATATATATATATATATATATATATATATATATATATATATATATATATATATATATATATATACTGCTCAAAAAAAAAGGGAACATTTCACTTTAATTTTGTGTGTGGCTCCAAATCCAGGCCTCCATTGGTTAATAAATTTGATTTCCATTGATGATTTTTGTGTGATTTTGTTGTCAGCACATTCAACAGAACAAAGATTTCAATGAGAATATTTCATTCATTCAGATCTAGGATGTGTTATTTGAGTGTTCCCTTTATTTTTTTGAGCAGTGTATATATATAGCAGTGTATATATATATATATATATATATATATATATATATATATATATATATATATATATATATATATATATATATATATATATATATATATATATATCTT